CCCTTTCATCTTTATTTCCAGCTTGGGGGAAACAGCCCCAATACCAATACCAGCATAGTGCAGCCACTCTCTGCTGTCCAGTCCTGTCCTGGCTCCTGTTTTGTTACTGTACCTTCACTGCCAGCCCATCTTGGCCCACTCTCCCATGGCATTCAGGAGGGGCTTAGATTTGGTCTGAAAGGGAACTGTTGTTGATATTGCAGCCAGCAGTGCAATATAGTAATATACATAAAAACTGTTGCTACTGACGCCCGCAGCCCTTACCATCTCCACACACTGGGGAGGTAGGTCCCCTCTGCATTCATAATAAGTAAGGGAGAAAAAAATAGTCTGTGCTAGAATTTTCTGAAGCACAGGTTGCTAAGTTTGCAGCCCTAGAATGAACCTTCCACCTAAGTTAGACTCCCCAGTTGAGAGCCTCATCTGCTGTTGAGCATCCCTGTGCTGAAATTTGTAGAACCTTGTTAATTAGTATCAGCTGAGAGTCACCTAAAATGCTTCCTCTGGCAAGGCCCTTTCAGTGCTCTACGTTTAATGCAGGCTGCAACAGCCCGCGAGCGATAAAGGCTGGTGGAACAGCTTCTCTGCTCACAAGTGAAATTGTAACATAGTGCTGATATGCTCCATATTTTCCCACACCTGGTGCTTTAATCAGAGCTTTCACAGCCCCATTTCCAGGAAGCTCAATGGGGGTTTGTAGGGGAGACTGGACAACCCCGTCTTGACCAGAATAATAATGTCTGCGGTGTCCGCCCCTGCATTGACTGGACTAACGATGGCTGCCTTGACCAAAGTGAGGCTTTTAACAAAGCAAACCAGGCCTGATTCAAGCCTAGTGCACGTGGGCCAGACCAAGGGTTGACCTTTGAAAGTCAGGAGTGTGTTAAACAACAGTGCATTGAGAGTATTGGTGTAAAGAAACCATGCCAAGAACATTGGGAGTAACCTGGTACTGGTACATAACAATGCTAATGAGCAAAATCACTGACACAGCCATAGAACTATCAATTAACTGTAGAATAGTTTGATTAGCAGAATGTGTACAAAAGAGGGGCATACACAATACATAATTAATTGGTAGATTTTACTAGAACGACCAAGTCAAGTCTCACTTTGCTATAAAAGTAGGTGTAGAAAAGACGATCGGTGGGAGGGACTGGGTAAGGGGTCCCCACTACCTTACTCGCTGCAACTAGAAGCTGTGCCTGCTCCTACCAACCGATGCATTGTGGACACCTCTGTGCATGGGGAAACAAGTAGGCCACGACCTCCCATCTGACAATCATTATCTGATAATCATCTGACAATCGTAAGGTCTTAGCGGTGGAACTGTGTGTGATTTATAGAAATAAGTACATGTATATCCCCATCCTTAATATAACACCTACACGTAAGACAATACCCAAGATACATGATTTTATTGTCTGTACTAACTATCCTGTGTATTGAAACAAATCTGTGTAACCTTGCACTGCTTTCCTTTACTATTCTGTGCATAATAAAGTTAACAAGAGTTTATCTGAGGTTAAAACAAAATGCAGGACAATGTAGCACTTTAAAGACTAACAAGATGGTTTATTAGGTGATGAGCTTTCGTGGGCCAGACCCACTTCCTCAGATCAAATAGTGGAAGAAAATAGTCACAACCACAGATACCAAAGGATACAATTAAAAAAAATGAACAAATATGAAAAGGACAAATCACATTGCAGAACAGAAGGGGGATGCGGGGGGGTGGGAAGGGGGAGGAAGGAAGGTAAGTGTCTGTGAATTGCTGATATTAAAGGTAGGGAGAGTGGGATGTTTGTGAGTTAATGGTATTACAGGTGATAATTGGGGAAACTGTCTTGATAATGGGTGAGAAAGTTCAAAGACTTGTTAAGTCCCTGGTGGTAAGTGTCGAATTTTAACATGAATGACAGTTCAGAGGATTCCCTTTCAAGTGCAGATGTAAAAGGTCTTTGTAGCAGAATGCAGGTGGCTAAGTCATTTAGAGAGTGTCCTTTCTGGTTAAAGTGGCAAGAAACTGTTTTCTCTTTGTGATCTTGTCTGATATCTGTTTTGTGGGCATTAATCCTTTGGCGAAGTGTCTGAGATGTTTGTCCAATGTACATAGCAGACGGACACTTTCGGCACATGATAGCATAGATTATATTTCTGGATGCGCAGGAATATGTGTTCTTGATCTTATAACTCACTTGGTTAGGTC